AGCTGACATACGCTGGAACCGCGTGGGGACACGCAGCGAAGACGCACCTAGCCCGGGTGCAAGCCGTCGAGAATATCGCCGTCCGTTGCGCGACGGGGGCCCCTCGGTTCGTCCGCAACAGCGACATTCGCCGGGATCTGGAATTCACCTCAGCCCTGGAAGCGATCAAATAGCGCGCGAGAAAGCGTTTCGAGCGCGCCGAGATCCACAGCAACCAACTGATCCGGAACGTGGTGGACTACCGACCCGAAGAGGCTGCCGGCAGACGCAGGCGGCCTATACATCAACTCCTGGACGCAGGGTGAGTCGAAATTTTTCTGTCTGTTTCAGGACCGGTTTCTCCCCTCCCGCCTAAGGGCCTAAGGGCCACCTTAGCAAAGCGCTTACTAAGCTGCATAGCTGCATGACCTCACCCGAAACCACCATCCCGGTTGCAAACGACTGTCGTCGTTTGCGTCCTATACACGACACCCCGGGGGTTTACACAGACGAGCCGGCGAAGAAAGAAGAGCGCCAGAAGAAAGGGCCCTAACCGGCAGGGCCCAGCCAGGACAGGAGGAGGCCCCATGAACCGATCGCGTTGGCGGCCCGGAATGCCGGGGAAAGTTCCTACCTCTACGAGGCGTCCGCTCCGATATCCCGCTCGACCCTGCTCTATCCAAGATCATTTTTCCTGCCAAGGATATTGGCGCGCGCGCACCACCGCAGCTCACTTGCATCTCAGCCTCCGTGCGCGACATACAAGAATTCATAAAGTCTCGCACCGTTCTTACCTGTTAACTCTTAATTCCTGGTTTAATTTAAATCCGTTAAACAATAGAACCAGAACAAAAAAATAAAAAATAATAATAATAAATAAATAAATAAATATTAAAATAATAATAAAATATGTACAGGGCGAGCAAAAGAGCCAAGAAAAAAATAATAATAAAAAGAAAGAAATAGTTCAAATAAATAAGTTGAAAAAAGAAAAAATATTAAAAAAGAGAAAAAATAAATAATAGAAATAAGCCCTGAAAAGAAAAGTAGAAATAAAGATTTGCCAAACCATAGTTGAAAAAATAATAAATATGAATAAAATCGCTTCTTCAGCCACCGATATGGAGGACTTCCCCGCAGTTTTGGGCTTCCCGGAGGGCCTGAGAAGGAGACATGGCGCCCAACAGCGTGAGGCAGGAAGCACCGGCGTGCCTTCACCTACCCGACCAACCGAGCAAACCTTTAGGAATTGCATGTGGGACTACACCCTCGATGAGACGTCGGCTCCACCGACAAGCACGTTTCTACACACCGGCGGGGCGCAACAGCAAGACACTGTCCCACAATAGACAACATCCGACACAACCATGACCTACGACCATCCCAATGCAGCGACGTGGCAGAATACTACCAATATAGCTATGGTCTAGGCGTTAACCGAATTGACGCAACAAGTAGCAGCCCTGCGTGCCATCGACGTGCGAGAAGAGCCGGATTTTGAGTTTTCTGGCAATCCCATCGAAGACCCAGAGGATTATCTACAAGCGTTGGAGGCATGGTTCCACCAGAAGCGAGTTCCAGCCACCCGACAGTTCCTAACTATCCGAAGAACCCTAGTAAAAGAAGCGTTCTATCAACGTTCTCGCCTTGTCTTTCGGTCAGATTCGCGGGTGATGGGTCGCGTTCTGGATTTCTATTTCAAATACGGATGCTATGGTGGTGGATGCTTTTCCCGCTGGAGAAGCGTCTCGAGGTTTTCGGTCAGGCCGCGGCGCGTATTACGCCTGTAGGATCTCTTTTATGTTTTAATTTCAAGAAAAAATAAATGTTCGTCAGGCGCCAGTAAATTTCGAGAAAAAGAATTTACAAACTTTTAACAGCACTCTATGTTCGGGCTAGCTATTACTCGAAAATAACTAATTTTGGTTTTGCGAATTGTCAGGATAACGTCCTGTAGGTTTTGCCACTAAACCTAGGAATAAACAAAGAAAAAACTTTTTATTGGTTTTTGAAAAGAACAACCTTGCACAGTGAAACACTACGCTTTCTTGGCGAGTAAGATAATTTGTATTTTTATTAAAAACGATTTATAAACAACAAATACATTAAACTTCTAATATTGCTAACGTCGATCAAAACATCCAACTTACTATAAAATAACGGCATAAAATAAAATAAATATACTATAATCTACAGCACAGTCTAACAAATATTAAGCTAGCCAGTGGAAAAAAGAGTACTTTATATATCAAAAATGTTCTGCTAGAGAACGAGCCACGTTTAACAAGAAATTTGTTAAAAAATACAAAAATTTTTGAAAAAATAATTTTTTGGTTATATATGAACCAATAAAAGAGAACCCTTGGTAATATTAAGATAGGTTTTACCTATTTAACACCACAATAACTCAAAACTCAAACTCAAAAATACTATTCGCGATTCACAAGGAAGTACACACGGTGAACTGCAAACTGCAACTGCCTTCATCCCCGAATCTCATCCCCTTTTATGCAGTACAATGTACAATTTTCTCCTAAGTTTCGAATGAAAGATTTTTAAAAATAAAAATTTCGCCTAAGTTCTCAAACGATTAATTTTTTACCTATGTTTCTAGTACGTTTTCTTTCTACACCTTGTTTTCCTAGTCGGCGTCCGCGTCTAGAATTACCATCCTGGATTTTCTTTTCCTTTTCCGCACCGGTGAATACGAGGAGGCGGTGTCATCAGACTGTGTCAGGCTCTGGGATGCAGAACAGTTCAAATGGTTCGACGAAACCTGTATCCCAGGCATGGACTGGGAGCTCTTCAAATGGCAGTTTCGGGCAAGATTCAATTCCACGGCCGTCAGGTCGACACTGCTTAAACAATTATATGGTCAGCCACGTCGTGGGGAGATCGCGTATATATTTATCACCAAGAAATGGAACCTGTTCAAGCGACTCGCCCCCGAGACCCTTGACTCAGAAAGGCTAGAAATTATCAGAGAGCTACTACCACCGCAAACCAGGGTTGTTACACGGGGAATCAAGTTCCAGGACGTTCAACGTATGGTAGAAGTAGTCGCGCAAATCCAGCGAGACCTATCAGAGGGTGCGACTCCACGAGGCAACCCGCCACCGCTGGTGCCAGGGCCACCATTACCACTGCGACTACCCTGCGAGACAGGGAAACTGGGCGAGGGCCGGGGCACCCCCGCAACCAACAGGCTCCCGGCCCCACGACATCCACCGAGAAGCAGAAGAGAGGCGCGAACGACCGACACCGCCAGTGCCAGTTACCCGTCAGTAGCGGGCTTGAACCAGGCGGGCAACGACACCACCAGCCCGCTACCAAGGATTGCGGTGACCATCAACAACAAGCCGCTTTCCGCACTGATAGACACCGGCGCTAATCGCAACTTCATACGCGCCAACCTAATCGACGACTACCGAACTAGACCTCACACGAGAAGAATATTCCTCGCTTGCGACGCTACCCATGCAACCGCCGAAAATCACGTTATATGCAAGAATCCAAGAAGTCGAATACCAGGTGGAGTACCTGATCATTCCGGACCTGCGAGAAGAACTGATCCTGGGGCAACCATAGCTGGCTGACAACGAGGCGGTGGTGGACACCAGCCGCCGATGTGTTCACCTGGGAAGGTCTCTGCGACAAACCGCCTATTGGTCCCAGGCCGTCCACACCGCCGATACGAGACAACCGCCGCTACAATTAACTCCACATATACCATCGCCACACCGAGATACCTATGAAGAGGTATTGACCCGCTACGCCGAGGTGTTCGCGGAAGCCGACGTGCCCTCGACGACCATTTCTACCCAACACCGAGTTATCTTTAAAGATGAAACACCGGTGCGAGCGCGCACCTACCGATGCTCGGAGGAGCGGAAAAGAATAATTAACGAAGAAATCACTCAGATGCTGGCCCAGGGGATTATCCGACGTAGTATGTCCGACTGCAACAGCCCGGTGGTCATTGTAAAGAAACGAGACGGCAAGCAGCGGTTCTGCGTCGACTACCGCCTGTTGAACGAACGCACCCACGTAGAGGTCAGTCACCTGCCAACCATCTCCGACACGCTAATGGAACTTGGAACGGCTAAGATGTTCACAACCCTCGACTTCAAGAGCGGGTACTGGCAGGTGCACCTGTCTGAAGAATCCCGAAGGCAGGGGCTCCAGGAACCTTTCAAAAATTAATGGTTAACGTCCTCGATGGGTACATGCACCGATTCGTCAAAGTCTACCTGGATGACGACGTCGTGTACTCCGAAACCCATGAACACCAAGAACACATCGCCAAGGTACTGGAACGACTCGCTGTTCATGGTCTACGTTGCTCCACCGAAAAATGCCAGATTGCCACCAGCCAAATCCCGTACCTCGGGCATGTCATCACTGAAGCCAAGAACCTGCCGCAGCACCTACAGCGCATCCAAGATTTCCAAGCATCCAGAACCATCCGAGAGCTCCGCAAATATATGGGAACGGCGAACTGGCTGCGAGACTACGTCCCACGTTTCGCCGAACTCGCAACACAACTGCGAAGAAAAAGTTTACCTGGGGAGAAGCCGCGCAGGAGGCGTTCGACCGCGTTAAAGAAGCCATGGCCCAGCCATTGGAACTTAGCCGACCCGACCGAATAAGCCATTCTGTCTGCAGACCGATGCCAGCAGCTTGGGAATAGCTGAGTATTATTCCAGGAAGAGGAAAACCGACGCAGAATTATCGCCTATGCCTCCGCAAAATTCGCCGCCACAGAACGACGGTATTACATTAACGAACAGGAGGTCCTGGCGGCCGTATGGGCGATTAAGAAATACCGGATGTTTCTACAAGACGGCCCCTTCCGATTATATACTGACAACCGCTCGCTGCTATGGCTGAGTAAGTACCAAGAACGGGCCAAACTAACCCGATGGGACCTTCTGCTATAAGGGTACCAATTTGAAGTCGTCCATGTGCCCGGTACTCGGAATGAGCTTCCCGACTATCTTTCACGCAACCCAGAGCAAGTCATGGAAAAAGACCAGCCCACCGAAGACGAAAACCAACACCCCCTACTTAACCAAATCCAAGAGAGTACCCTGTATGAAGAAATCGCCGCGGCACAGCGTGAAGACGACAGCTGCCAGCAAGACAAAGCACGTCTTCAACGGTTGGCTCGGGAGAAGCCCGCCGACGAACGACGCATCAAAGAAGAGTACGCTCTCGTGGACGATTGTATATGGAAACGAACCCCGCAACAACTCCTGCTCTATGTGCCGAGAACGCTGCGTCGCCAGCTCCTAGAAGAATACCACGACGGGCCACACGCCGCTCATCCCGGGCGGGATGAAATCCAAACCGCTATACAGCAGAAGTTCTGGTGGCCGAAATTACCTCGAAACGTTGCCGAGTGCGTGAGGTGCTGTACCATTTGTGCCGCTGTAAAGGCAGGGCCGCCGCAAGCCAAAGCTCCACTACCCAACGCGTGTGTGGCGGCCAAGCAGTACGCAGCGCCCGAGCAACGATAGCCGCCCGACACGTCGAAGGTCCCGGATAATAGTACGGTCGTCCTCGCCACGCCAGCACGAGCCGCGCGCTAGCGGCGCGCCACCCTGAAACGGTTCCCCGGAGGGAACAGCCGTGCCGCAGCGAAGCGGCCTAATCGAACCCGAGCCGCCCGATGTGCCAGGAGCAAGCGGTCTCCAGCCACGCGCGACTTAAAATTATGTACATAGACATTTACTATGTTCTTATTTAACTTTGTTGTTTCACTTATGAGTATATAGCTGTTTGAATAACTTTTACTTTAACATTTTTATATAGGTAGGATATTTGATTTCGTTTTCTTAAACTGTATTTACAATTATAAACAACAGGAAAATAAACTGCACCAGGGCCAGGTTAACGGGAGAAGGCATCGCCATTCACCCGTAAATGCCCGAGGATTACAGGTGTCTCACGCGGGTCCTCGCCGACGAGGGTAGGGAATATCACACATATTCCCTCCCTAGAGAGAGGTTACTGAGGGCAGTAATCCGAGGGTTGCCTGACGGAATCTCAAACGAGGAGATTCGGTCGGACCTCGAACAACAGGGATACAATATTACCTCTGTTTTCAGGATGCGGAGCAGACGAGACAGGGCCCCCATGTTCCTGGTTCTGATTCAAGCCCCTCAAGACCAAGAGGACTTGCTCAAGGTGACCAGGTGCTGCCATCTGGTTGTCAGGGTAGAGACGCAGCGCGCTAATGCGAACCCCACCCAGTGTCACCGCTGCCTTGTAGTATTTATCAAAACGAAGATTTTCAGCTGAAAAAAATTTCGAAAAACATCAACTTGCGCCATGTAGGACCACATTTGCGCCGAAAATCAGTTTTTTTTTATAAAAATCTAATTTTGGAGTCAATTTTCAAAAAATGAAGACCGAAATCAAAAATCCCAAATGAGGGATCGATAGGGACATTCAAGACGAACATTTTGAAAAAAAATCACCCGAAACAGTTGAACTATGTGGGGTGTAGAGTAATTTGAATGCGACAGTGGCGTTTCGTCCCACTGTGCGACGGCAAGCCAGCAGCAGCACAAAATCGACCACGAAGCCTCAACACAACAGGCAAAGTTTGCGTACCCCCCGAAGGTGACTGCGGCGAAGAGCTTCGCCGACGCCGCCAGACCAAAGCAGTCCCCCGTCGCGGCACCCAAGGGGGACCCAAAACCGACAGGAGTGCGGAACCCGCAAATGTGGCCAGCATGCTGGCACAGATGCGGGAGATGTACTCCGCCATGTCGGCTTTTTTCAGTAAAATGCCATCTCTGTTACAGGCGTAAATGGACCCTCCGACTAGTGTGCAGTCCCTCAGAATTGCCTCCTGGAATGTCGACGGATTCCGGGGGCGAAAAATCGAACTCAAGGAGCTCTTGCCCCGTCTAGACGTGGACGTGATGGCGATACAAGAGACCAAAGTAGAGGACGCACACACTGTTAGGATTCCTGGCTACCTAGTGTATCGCAGGGACCGAAACCGACACGGAGGAGGCGTGGCCCTGCTCGTAAAAAGAGGTATAGATCACCATGTGTTGCAGGTTCCCCAGCTAGAAAACATGGAAGCCGCCGCCGTATCGATCCGTACTCGCAGGTACGGAGACATCGCCGTGGTGACCTGTTATCAGCCCCCTCAGCTCCCGCTCACCGATCATGATTTACGCGCGGTCCTGTCCTGGAGGCGTAGCCCCAAACCGTAGCCATCGGGGACTTTAACGCGAAATCTCCCGAATGGCATAGCACGACCACCACCACGCGTGGCAGGGTGCTTCTGCAATTCTTGCAGAACCACGAGGACGTTGCAGCGTATGGACCCGATGGACCGACGTACTACGGTGCAGTTGGAAAGCCAGACGTGTTGGATATCGCTTTGCTCAGAGCAATACCGATGGCCGCCGACCTAGCGACGTACTACGAGGGGGCGACGAACCATGCTCCTATTCTCCTAACTCTAGGAGACGAGCGTCGCAGCGAGGACACCGTTGCCAAACGGCGGACCGACTGGGGCTTATTCCGCGCAGAAATGCAACGAATATGCGCACTCATTCCGGTCGTCCCCGACGCGGCGGACCTCGAGGCTGCCCTCGCGAGACTTGAGACGGATATCCACACCGCCTTGGAAGCCAGCACCACGGAAACGACGGAGAGGAGGACAGCGAATTATGCAGGTGAGTTACCTATTACGTTGCAGGACCTAATCAGGGAAAGATGTGCGGCGAGAAGAAGAGCCACGGGGATAAGCAGACGTTAAACTATCTGAACCGGAGGGTAAAAGCGGCCCTAGAGGAGCACTACCAGGACTCGTGGCAACGACATCTGGAGTCACTGAACCCCGAAGACCGCAGCCTGTGGACGATGCAACGGGCGCTGAGGACCACCCGGAAGCCTATGCCTCCGATTCACGGAGAGAACGCGATCGTCTACACAAGGTATGAAAAGGTAGAGGCATTTGCTGACAGCCTTGAATTACAGTGTAGGGAAAACCTTCTCGACGACGAAGACGAGGACCACACCGACGAGGTGGAACGATGCGTACGGCGCTACAGACGCCAACCCGACAGGGACGACATCAGGCCGGCGACACCCGAGGAGGTGAGGGATATCCTGCGGCGCCTTAACCCCCGCAAGGCACCCGGATGTGACCAGGTCGGAAACCGAATACTCAGAAAGCTGCCCCACAAGGGAGTGATGGCGCTGCTCAACATCGTCAACGCCATCCTGAGACTGCGAAGATTCTCCGCCAGGTTGAAGAAAGCCGACGTCATCTTCTTCCCTAAACCACGTAAGAATCTAACCTTTTCTGCCAGTTACAGGCCCATCAGTTTCCTGCCGATGATGAGCAAGGTAGCGGAGAGGATCATCCCGACCAGACTACGTGAGAGCTCGGAAGAATTGCGAGTCATCCCCGACGAACAATTCGCCTACCGTAGCGGACACTCAACGGAGCAGCAGACACAGGTTAGTAGAACATCTGTCCGCAGGTTTCAACAACCGAGAATCCACCGTGGCAGTCTTCCTGGACGTTGCCAAGGCCTTCGACAGGGCCTGGCACGATGGGCTTCTGGCAACTTTGGCTACCTTATCGGATTGGTCAAACTGGTGGAGTCCTTCCTCAGAGGCAAAAACGCGGAAGGGACCCTATCCACCTATCGAGACGTCGCGGCAGGCGTCCCCCAAGGAGCCGTGCTATCACCGCACCTGTTCAACATCTACACATCCGACATGTCCAGGACAGAGCGCCTACCGTGTGCCTCTACGCCGATGACACCGCCATAACGGCCCGTTCTCTGAACCCCGATATGGCGAAGAGGTACCTCCAAAGAGCTGTAAGCCAACTAGAGGACTGGTGCAACAGGTGGAAGGTGGCGATCAACCCGGAGAAAAGCACAGGTATTATGTTTCCTCGTAGATACCGAACGAGCCCCCAGGGACACGTAAAGTTCAACGGAGAAGACATCCAGTGGGCGACCACCGTCAAGTACCTACGGGTAACCCTGGATCGCACGCTGACGTGGAAGCCGCACGTCAATGCTGTGACGCGCAATGCGGATGGTGAGGGCGAAGCTTTATCCGCTTCTGTGCAGGGACAGCCGCCTCTGCCTGCGGAATAAGCTAACCCTCATCAGAGCAGTACTGCAGCCGCAGCTGACGTACGCTGGAACCGCGTGGGGACACGCAGCGAAGACGCACCTAGCCCGGGTGCAAGCCGTCGAGAATATCGCCGTCCGTTGCGCGACGGGGGCTCCTTGGTTCATCCGCAACAGCGACATTCGCCGGGATCTGGGATTCAACTCAGCCCTGGAAGCGATCAAAGATCGCGCGAGAAAGCTTGTCGAGCGCGCCGAGATCCACAGCAACCCGCTTATTCGGAACGCGGTGGACTACCGACCCGAAGAGGCTGCCGGCAGACGCAGGCGGCCTAGACATCAACTCCCGGACGCAGGGTGAGTCGAAATTTTTCTGTCTGATTCAGAACCGCCAGGATGAAGAGACGAAAACGACGAGACACACACACACACGCACACGCACACTCACACACACACACACACACACACACACACACCAGGTCGTCGTTTGCGACCGATACACGACACCCCCGGGGGTTTACACAGACGAGCCGGCGAAGAAAGAAGAGCGCCAGAAGAAAGGGCCCTAGCCGATAGGGCCCAGCCAGGATAGGAGGAGGTCCCATGAACCGATTGAATCCGGCCGCGATGGCGGCCCGGAATGACGGGGAAAGGGCCTACCTCTACGAGGCATCCGGGCCTACAACGATGAAGTGGGTAAAGAGCCATAATCCCGCTCGACCCCGCTCCATTCTATCTGCCAAGGATATTGACGCGTCGGCTCGTTCATTCAGGACTCGGCCTTCAGAACTACAACAGCTCGACGAACGAAAAGCAGCAGACCTCGAGAATCGCAAAATACACGCTAGTCGTATTTTTGAGTTTTGTGTAAGTGTGGAAGCGTATAGAGTCATTGTATTTGGAATAGGATATCCTGGCCGGACCCCGTTAGAGTGTGAAGCACAGCTTGTACCACGAACAACTTGTAACCTTTGACAGGTCGTTCTACAGAGTGTGAGAAGTTTCCCGGCCAATCACTGAACAATTTGGTGTTAAAATTTGGTTCGCAAAAGAGCGATTTGATAAACAATAGACATTTAAATAGAAAATCTGTGTATAGACAATCGTTTTTGCCCAAGATTAGCGACGACAAGTGCGCGTAAAGATTAATTTTCGTCCGCGGGGCGCTATGGAACGCGATCGCGAAAATACTCACCCAGGGGTCATAATCAAACCTGTAAGAGAAAACTACTAATTAACTTATAACTTACCTGCAATATATGTTTCAATTAAACTCTGGTGTCTTTGTTGCATTCCTGGTGGTGTGGACGCCTTCAGCGTCGACTTTGAAGTAGTTTTTGGACCTGAAAAAGAACAATAAATATAAATAAATAATAGTTATAGTTATGTCTATTAGAGCT